GCCGTTAGTTTGGACAATGCGAAAGCGTTTGATAGGGTTTGGCACAAAGCGGTTCTTTCGAAGCTGTTCTTCCTATCGACTTCCTGAGAAATTGTGCAATTGGATCACCAGCTTTCTTGCAGATTGGAGCATCAAGGTCGTAGTAGATGGTGCACGCTCCGATTACAAGCTACAAGCAACGCTGATGTTTCACAACGCTGCATGATATAACGAACGCTATTTCTTCTGCATATCAAAAGTTGCCGAGTTCCGGAACAAACTTGTGTCTGAAGTTGAGTCTTTGCTGAATAAAGTCTCGGCTTGGAGGCGACTAAATCTAGTCTAGTTTAATCCTCATAAGATACGCGTTTATGCGTTTACCGCTAAGAAGTACCCCTTTGTCGTATCTTATCAGTTTCAGGGCACCCCCGATATTGCTTCAGCTAGTATCGGAATCCTTGGCGTCACCATATCGAGTGACGTGCATTTTCGTGGCCTTTTGGAAGCGAAGGCCAAATTGGCCTTTAAAAAGGGACAGTATTTCATGCCGGCACACCGCCTGCAACTTTACAAGTCACTGGTTCGGCCTCACATGGAATACTGTTCTCATCTCTGAACTGGGTTTCTCCAGTGCCGGCTCCTTCCAATTGACCGCGTCCAGTGTAGAGCGGCTCGAATCTCAGCAAAATTTCCGATACCATCCACCACATCTGCAATTCTCCTGGAGTTGCAGTTGTTCATGGGCGGCGGTGGTCACTTACCATCATGTGAGCCGTATGCTCGTTTGCACCCTCTCCTATAAAAAGAGCTGTAAAGGAAAAAATCGTGGAGAAACAAATATGTCTAAAGAAAAAATATTATAGATAGCTGTTAGGGTGTGAAATTGGGTGACATTAAAGTAAATTGTCTGCTGTATGCTGATGATTCAGTGCTTATTGCACCATCAGAGGCAGAACTGCAGGCATTAGTCACGTGTATGAAAGAGGAATGTGAAATTAAAGGTCTCTATTTGAATGCTAATAAAACTAAGGTTCTGGTATTTAAAAGGGACGAAGAGAGAACGAAGTGTGAAATATGGGTAAATCAGGAATGTCTAGAAGAGGTAAATGAAATTGTATACTTGGGGAGTGCTTTTAGCCGGGATGGAAGATGTGATTTAGATGTGGACAGGCGTGTCGCTGCCGGGAACAAAGTCAATGGTGCCCTGACTGCGTTAGTCAAAAGGCAAGGCGTAGTGAAGAGTGCACGCCTTGCAATACATAACGCAGTGTTGGTACCGACTTTGTTATATGGCTGCGAAATCTGGGTATGCCAGAAGAAGCATAAAAGCAAGTTGAATGCAGTGGAGATGCGATCTCTTCGTAAAATGTGCGGCGTTACCATGGCCGACCGAAAGCGAAACGAAGAGATTCGCAATATGGCAGGTTTGAAAGATGACCTTATCACAAAAATTGATAAGGGCGTGCTTCGATGGTTTGGGCACGTTGAGCGAATGAGTGAAGACCGAACGGTGAAGAAAATATATAGCGCGAAAGTTAATATTAAAAGGTGTTGAGGTAGACCGAGACTAACTTTCGAAGACCATGTGAGCAAATTGCTCGAAGAGGGGAGGGTCAAGACTACTCGGATACCTAGATGTGCATGTATGAAGAAGATAATGAATCTGAAAGAAGCGAAAGAGGTATGTAAGGATCGTGACACTTGGCGATCTGTTCTCTCTGGCTACCCCGTCAGGGATTGTGCGTGAAGATAAGTAAGTAAGTAAAAAATATTTCGCTTTTAATATGACGTTGTAATAGTTTAAAATTTTGTACAACCGATTTCATTATATATATATTATACAATAAATTATTAAGAATAACTCAAAAACTATTGGTTAAACATTGATCAAATTTATATGGGACCATATGAGAAGCACCAGCTTTCAAATCAAAAAATAATCATCGAAAACGGTTAACCCAGAAAAAAGTTATGAGGTAACACACATAAAAAAACAGTTGACTTGAGTACCCCCTACTTTTTAAAGTCGGCAGAAAACCTATAATGGTGGCAGCGCTAATGATTCGGCTCGACGAAGGAAGGATCACGCTCGTAATAATAATAATAATAATCTTTATTTCGGACCAAAATTAATCCATAGTAGTGTTAGTAACAATTGACTTATAAACTAGTGTTAGTAAACATTAATGTGTGGACAAACTTTTTCAAAATCGGAGAATTATAGTTCTCCGCTACTGTTTTCAAAATGCTGTTGTGACTATCTCTCACCCTTCTAAGCAGCGAAGCTGTTTTCTTACGTATTATCGCATGAAAACCGTCCGTGCGAGCTTGCGCATACATCTCCGACGCACTACAGTATCGAGGCAGTCCCAACAACATTCTGAAAGCATTATTATATTGAACACGCAGGGCATCCAGCGACCTTTTAGTGTAATTGATCCATAGACTGCTCGTATACAGACTCTGGCAGTATGCCTTAAATAGGGTAATTTTTACTAAGTCCGTACATCGAGCAAATCTACGGGCCAGCATGTTACTCCTGACCGCTAGAGCCCTGCGTTCCCTCTCAATGTCTACATTATCTTTCAGGTCATCTGCAAGAAAATGACCAAGATATTTAAAGGAACTTTTTTGAGTTTTGACCCATTCAAGAACAGGTCAGGTTCATCAGTCCTAGGCTTGCCCCTGACGCCAAAGACAATGTATTCACATTTTTTGACATTATATGCCAACCCATGAGACTCAGCATAGGCTACACACACCTTCAGTAACTCTCTTACTGCCCTCACCGACGGTCCCATCAGCACCATGTCATCTGCATAGCTGATGTTGTTAATACTAACCCCACCAACACTGCATCCGACACGCTTGCTACTGAGCTCGCCTATGAGAGCATCAATATATAGGTTGAATAATCTGGGAGACGTTAGACCCCCCTGCCTTACCCCGCATTCCAACCTGTACGGTTCACTAAGAGTATCGTCCCATTTCACATGATTTATTTGTTTACTGTACCAATATTTGAGCAGACCACATATCTCTGACGGTACACCCCTGTCCTCCACCTTCCTCCAGAGCACGTCATATGAGACGAGATCAAATGCCCTGGAAAGATCAAGGAAACATGTCATGCAGTTGAATGTGGTCACTTAAGATGGTATCAAGCACACCGTCCAACACCTTTGCTATGATAGTCGCTAAGGAAATAGGACGATAGTTACCCTTGTCAGAGATGTCTCCCGTCTTGTTCTTCACAATGGGAACTACTATTGTCTTCATCAGATTTGTAGGTAAGTAAGAGTGACTAATACACATTGTGTAGAACATGGACAGGACTCGTGGCAGGTGAAATCCAGCGTGCTTCAGGTGCTCAATGCTGAGCCCGTCATGTCCTGGAGATTTACCTCGGCTCATACCTATTATGATACTGCGTATCTGTTTAGCAGAAATATGCACAAGAGGTTCCTCTCCCCCACAAACGGTCCCAGCACTACCCACCTGTGTTGAGGGCCCAAGTGGAGATTGTATTTTAAAATGTTCCATGAACATTTTAAAATACAATCAATTTTTAATAATCATCGTTATCATTACATCCCATCACAAGTCCACTGGACATAGGCCTCCACCAAGGAATGTCATAAAATACGGTGCTGAGCCACCTGCATCCATCGACTTCCAGCGTCACTCTGTCTAGCGGGAGGCTGCTTTACTAATTGCTTACCGGTACGAAGCTGCCACTCGAGAATCTTTCTGCCACATAGGTAGTCGGCTTGCAAGTTATGATCGGCCCATTTGCACTTCAGTTTACTGATCCTGCTCACAATAGCAGTGTTAAATTGCAGCATAATGCTGTTGTGTATCGTATACAAAGTATATATAGTAAGGAAGCATTGCAACTAGTTGTAAGCGTATATATGAATAATATTCATTAATTGTAAAATTAAAGATTTCAGGAAGTATATATATTGGTGAAAACCAAATGAAAATCCCCTCACTTTCTGAGATTAATGTAGTCATGAATAAGGACAAACGTTCTCCAGTAACCTGCTTTTTATGTATCTAGGTATCTTTAAACCACTCACAGATAGATATAGAACTTTTTATAAATCGAAAGTAAAAATGATGTGAACTGTGAAGTAAAGTGAACTGTGAAGTAAAGTGAACTGACAGTCCACCTTATGGTAAGTGACTACTACAGTCCATGCATATATGCAACCAACTTTGAACAAAGAAGACCACAGATGCGTTGTCACTTCTAAAGACTAAGAATGTTACACAACCTGTAGTTATATCCTTCAGATTGGAACACAGCAGTGCGAGATACTATGTAGCCGCAGAATTAGGTAAGACGGTGGTACTTGCCCGGGTGGAATCCTATGCAGTAAAAGCGTCCTACAAATTAGAGACATGGTAGAGCCATGCTGCAGCTGTATTGTGGTTATAGCATGAATGGGTCGGCTCGACCGGGGACGACCACGCTCTCACGGAATACCAGCAGTAGCAGCTCAGTGCAACTTTGTTTCATATGCAGAGCAAGAGAGATAACCATAGATCTTTTTTACTTGAAACTGGACATTCCATCTTGGTCCTGGGGGGTGGCAATGCATATGCATTTTGATTCTTAACCGAGGATCGGTATAGATGTTTGTGGACCACAACATCCACTCACCATCTGCTGGAATGTTTGCTCGTTTGTCAAAATAAAATTAATTACTTTATTGCAATATTTAATTTAATGAATTTTTTGTGTAAAATAAATTGTAATAACAAAAAAAGAGCAAAAGATACAAACGCAAAACTAATTACGGAAAAAGTGTCATTAACTGTTAAAAGAAAACTTCTATGTTGACAACTTGAAATACATTATTCACGTATTTTCTGATAATTACTTGTTTAAGACTCAAGGAAAGGCGTCAATCAAACACAGGAGTGCGCGGCTGACTGGTTTATTCTCCAAACGTGTTATTACAGTTTCCACAATTACCCACTATTTCTATAATAAAACCTTACATTTTCCCCCTTCAAATCTTTGCATTTCTCTTATTACGATTAAAAGCACGCAAAGCTCGCGAAGACGCGTCGGGTCCGGGCGGCGTCAGTGTCGGGGACTGTATAGGTTCCGAGAACGGCGCTGACTCATACGGGGTTACATCCAATACAATCGGTGTGTGTGTCCTCGATGCTATCGGCCCACTCGACGCGTCGTCGAAACAAGCCCCCTCGTCATCACTACAGACCACATCAGTTTTATTACTATTTCTATCATCACCCTGGGTTTGCTCCTCCCTTGATGTCTGACTTGTGCGCGTTAAGGAATATCTATTTTTATTTTTTATTGGAGTTACTTGATCCAGATGCCTACGTAATTTAATCCCCTTTCCAATGTTCACCGTACATGAGACTGGGCCCGTTTTACACACGACTTTACCCTCGGCCCACTTTTATCCCCTCGCGGTATAGTCTCGCTTCAGCACGGGATCACCGGGTTATACGTCGCGGTCGCGGTGACTGCCGCCGGCCATGGCCGCCTGGCGCTGCTGCGCGGCGCGCGCCGCGCTCGCCACGTCCGGGCGCATCGCGTCCAAGCGCCCGCGCAGCCGCCGCCTGAGCAAGGCGACCGCGGGAGGCACTCCGGTACTCGCGTGTTCGCAATTCCGATACTTAAATAAAAATATATTGATAGTCTGTGCCTGATGTTTTACCTTCGTGAACCGCCCTTTTAACAACTTTTTTAATTGTTTTGACAGCATTTTCCACGGCGCCATTACCTTGTGGTCTGTAGGGTGCCGTGGTAAACTGTTTGATACAATTCATATGACAGTAATTTTTGAAATCATGCGATAAAAAAGGTGGACCGTTGTCCGTGACGAGTTGCGAAGGAAGCCCGAATCTGGAAAAGATGGCTCTGAAAGCTGCGATTGTCGATTGTGCATTTGTACTTTTCATAGTGGACACTTCAATCCATTTAGAATGAGCGTCCACTATGACCAGATATTTTTTTCCAGCATATTCCGCGAAATCCGCATGTATACGATGCCAGGGCTGTGGAAACTCCCACGGGCAAATCGAAGCGTCCGGTGGCGCGTCGCGGACCACACGGCATGGCTCGCAATTTCGACATACCTCCTCTCGAGACTCGAGACTAGGCCAGTAAACGTAGTTTCTCGACAAGTTTTTCATTTTATTAACACCTAAGTGGTCATCGTGAACCTCCTTCAAAACTCGTGTACGTAGTACCGGAGATATAATAAGTCTATACTTGAATAGTAAGCAACCGAGATCCGTAGTGATCTCGCTCTTACGCGCAAAATATGGTTTTTCTTCTTCGCATCTTGCCTCGGGCGGCCAACCGAACATTACATATCCTAAAATTTTACATAACAGACTATCTTTTTTTGTTTCATAACTAATTTCCTTAAAATCTACGGGCATACACTCCTCTACGATATTTAAATAACTCACTGACGTAGTAAGGCCCCGCTCGTGAGGCAACGGCAGGCGAGATAAGGCATCTGCCGGCCCGTTATTCTTTGAAGGCACGAATTCTACGGAAAAATAATAGGCTGCAAGACGGGCTGCCCAGCGCTGTAAGCGGCTCACAGCAGTTTGTGGTATACCTCCTCGTACCCCAAATATATAGCTCAGCGGCTGGTGATCCGTACGCAAAACGAACCTCCTGCCGTATAAATACTGGCGGTGTTTAGTAACCCCATAAATATAGCTAGCGCCTCTTTATCTAGTTGACTATAATTACGTTCAGCTGTGTTCAGAGTTCGTGAAACACAGCTGACAGGCCTTTCACTGCCATCTGTATAGCGATGCGCGAGCACCGCACCCAAATCGTACGCGCTGCTGTCCACTGCCAGCACGAGCGGACGCCCCTCCTCATAATGAGCCAGCACCCGGTCACTCGTTAACATTCCCTTAGCCTCCGCAAAGGCCCGCTCACACTGAGTCCCATTTCCAACTCACTTCCTTTTTTAATAATTCATATAGAGGATGTAACAGAACGCTTAAGTTTTGAATTAATTTTCCGTAGTAATTTAATAATACAAGGGAACTTTTTAACTGAGTTATATTACTAGGAGTCGGTGAGTTGCAGATGGCCTCTAATTTTTCCGGATCCGGGTGCAACCCATTTTTGTCTATTATAAAACCTAGGTACTTAACCCTGGGTTGTAAATAACTACATTTATTCATTTTAACTGTTAAGCCCATATAACGTAACCGTTCAATTACCGTTTTCATATTTTTAAAATGTAATTCTTCATTCGGGCCTGTAACACAAATGTCATCCAAAAATACTACTGTCCCGGGTATACCCCGCAGAGTTTCTTCCATAAGTTTTGAAACTTTTCGGAAATACATGATAAGCCGAAATAAGTGCAGCGATATACGAATGTTCCTATATGTGTAGTTATTGCAGTGTATGGTTGGGAATCTTTGCTCAGTAACACTTGTTGATATGAATGTTTCAAGTCAATTTTCGAAAATTTCACTCCACCACTTAGGGAAGCAAATAATTCCTTCATCCTGGGCAGAGGATAATAGTCCCGTTTTAGTTTAGGGTTAATAGTTATTTTATAATCCCCACATATCCGTATATCCCCACACTCCTTGACAACTGGTACTATCGGCGTGCCATATTCGGAATGATCGACGCGATATATTGTGCCCTCTCGCTCGAGACGCATGAGCTCTTGCTCGACCCGAGCGCGCAACGTGAGAGGTACGGGCCTCGCGCGAACATACACGGGTTCCTTATCCGTCAGCTCTAATTGAAGAGTTTTTTTACAAGTTCCCAGTTTATCAGAAAACACCACCGGAAACTCAGTCAATAATTGACTTGTGAATGCATCATCAACAATTTCCTTAAAGTTAATTTGCCTTATATTTAGAGCGTGCATCCATGCTCAACCTAACAAAGGACGGCCTCCGTTTTTAATAACATACAGTTGTAAATTTTTAGCTCGAGCCTCACCCAGTTGTACATCGACATAAATGTAACCTAGCGATTCGATACGGGAGCCTGAGTAGCAAAGTAAAATTAGGTTATCGACATTTTATGATTTACTTGAAAAGTACCGTTTATAAAAATCTGCACTGATAGCCAAAATACGGCTGCCCGTATCGACCTCACACTCAAGACAATGACCGTCCATATTAATTATAATGAAATATGGTTTGGTACCTTTAGCCGACAACTTAATGTTATAGAAGTCCTCATCTTCTTCCGTATCCACCTGGTTCACCAAATTTGGTCGACCACACGATCGAGCTCCGGTACGTAGCCCACTGCGCACTTCACTGAACACCTTTTTACACATTACTTTAAGGTGGCCCCGTTGGCCGCACTGATCACAATTATATTGCGCAAACCGAAACCGATCTGACCGGTGCTGCTTGCCGCAGCGCCAGCAGGCCGCCACGCTGCCGCCGCCGCGTGCGCCTGCTCGCTGCGCGCTCGCTCGGTGCAAGCCCTCGCTCACCTCGCCGCCTAAGCCAGAGGCCGAGGTAGACGCCATCGCTGTTGTGGCGGCGCTCACCTCCGCGTACTTTTCTGCAGCCTCAAGTGCCAGAGCCAGCTCGCCCGCCTCCTTGTATTTGATATTTTTCTCGGCAAATATACGCGATCGCCTCGCTTCACTTGCTAGGCCGGACACGAATTGATCTCGTAGATTCTCCTCCAGCGCCGTCCCGAAGTTGCATGTGGTTGCGAGAAGTTTTAAATTATGCAGGTACTCCGTAAGTGACTCGCTTGGTCGTTGTCTGCGCAACCGAAATACATGTCGTTCGGCGATTTCCGACCGCTGAGGTTCGAAGTGTTCGGTCAACATTTGCACCAAATTCTCGAAAGTCTTTGATCCGGGATGTACCGGCGAGCACAAATCACACATTAGAGAATACGTTGCCTCACCAAACACAGTTATTAAGAGAGGTACTTGCAGTTCATCTTTAATTTCGTTCAGTATAATATACTGTTTTACCCGTCGTATGTACTCCGGCCACTGTGTAGAATGAATGTTGAACGGCTCAAGTTTTCCGATCGGCATTGTACCTATTTACATATAATTTACTCGTCGCGTATATAGTTTACACGCACCAAATAATATTCGCGGTACCCACTCGTCGCCAGTGTAAAGACTCAAGGAAAGGCGTCAATCAAACACGGGACTGCGCGGCTGACTGGTTTATTCTCCAAACGTGTTGTTACAGTTTCCACAATTACCCACTATTTCTATAATAAAACCTTACACACCACTGCACCGATCACTGTAAAACCGTGAATTTCACAATATACAAACAAACCGGGTTCGATTCCCGCCAGCACCAGTGAAATTGTATGTTACAATTGTAAGTGCTCATTTACCACGTGCTCAATGGTGAAGGAAAACATCGTGAGAAGACCTGCATGCCTTCGAAAATCGAAAATATTTCTAAGACATGTGGCCTACAAATGTCTTATGTATATATATATATTTTTGCTGACACTCATTTGGGTAACACAAAGAACACAAGGAAGTGTTCACGTAAAACCTCTCAGAAATGAGAGAAGGCCCGTGATCAGCAGTGTAATAAAGGCTGTAACTTTACATCCACCATCAAGTGTGAAATGAAACATGTGAAAGTTATATATTTTAAAGATGTATGTATGACGAACGAACACATAGTTACTCGTACCTCACGATGATGACAGGTGGTTGTTGAGGGCCATTAACACTTTGATGAAGGACTAATATGCATATACATTGTCCATTTAGTCCGCAGGGATATTCCTATTTCTCATCACATTTCGTTTCGTGGGTATCGTTGTCTATGGGATAGGACTATGGTTTCCGATGTAGATATAACCATCGCGGTTACGTCAGAAGTAAAATATCTGGTACTGATGAAAAAGATTAAGGCAAATCTTCTCCTTAATGGAAAAGGTCCACGAATGCCCACGAATCAGATCTAGGTTGATCGAATTCTTTAAGTAACTTTCAGTAAATGGTATTCCTTATGGAAATAATGTCCTCCAAACCCAATTTCGATCACGGTAGCAAGTCTCTATCAGATGCGGAGACCATACATCTATTGTGGACAGGTTTATGTTGCACGAGTGCACTATAAACTTCGATTCTTAAACTTTAATGTGCAATAAAATGTACAATGAGGCGCTATTCCGACACGGCTAGCGCATAGGCAATGGTTTAATGTGATTTCCAAGACACGAGTATAAAATACCACTTACTTTTTAACTCTGGGTTGCTATAGATAATTTTTTGACAGGAAAACTCAAAATCTAGTTTCGTGCCGGATCGGGGTGTTGACCCCACATAATCACCAGTCGCACTTACGACCACTAGATTAACAAGGCAGTCAATGTCAAAGTCAAATATTATTATAAATATTATGAAAAATAGAATTAAGCTGAAGAAAACCGTCACTTTGCCGAGAGCTCAGCACCACAGCAAAGAAAACTGAACGAGTAAGCGACAGTACTCAATATGTAAATCATATCGGCAATGGCGTACAAATGACCTCATTTGATTTTATGAGTGAAAAAGCGGCGTGCAAAGTATTGAAAGCTATAAATCACCTGCTGTATTTTGAAACAGTATTTTCATGCTTCTTATCTATTTTCTCTTTTGAAAGATCAGTGCTTTGGTAAATTCATTTGTGTTTTATTGAAAATTTGTGTTTCAAAATGTAAAAAAACCGCCCAAGTGCGAGTCGGAATCGCGCACCGAGGGTTCCGAACAAATCCGTAGGTATATAAGTTTAAAATTATTAAAAATATGTTTATTATATGATATAACTAAAAATTTATGCTTTTCGCAATTTGTCCTTTATCTGTGCTATAATACGTAGCTTCGTACCAAATTTTAAGATTCTGAGTTTACGGGAAGTACCCTGTAGGTTTTGATTCCCTTGCGAATATCGAAAATTTGCGGCATAAACTGCTGTATAATTTGGTTGCGGTGGCTTAGAAGTTTGATTTTTTCACAGCTCCAAGGGACAGTAGACTTTAGTATTTGATATGAATTTCAACTTGATACCTCCACGCGTTCCTGAGAAAAATGGTCTTGACAGACAGACAGACAGACGGACAACAAAGAGATACTATAAGGGCTCCGTTTTTTCCTTTTGAGGTACGGAACCCTAAAAGTCTATCTGTTACCAAGTTTAATTATATGATGAAACAAAAACTATATAAATAATTATTATAATATAAATGAATATATGATGAGTAATATCTTCTGGGAACCAGTGTTCTTATTGTATAATTGAAGTGCTTTGAAAACAAATATCCCGCTGGATTTCTTGCTGGTTCATCCCAGGACAGAGACTTTTTCCGAACCAGTGGTAAGAATCACTATACTAAATACTGAATAGAATAAAATATATTCTATTATGTTGTGTTCGTTCGCCTCCAACTCCTGGCTCACTAAAAATCAGCGTCACGAATTGATGTCTATCTTCAATTCGTGACTTAAAGCTGAATGGAGACCATTTTGTTGCAAATTATGTTCTACTAGCGTCTAAAAATGATTCCAACGTTTTGTCGGATCAAATCGTATTTAACAATCATATTGAATACATAAATGATATAAAATTAAATATAAAATAAACGAAATAAATAGACAGTTGTTAAGTCTCTCAAGGTAGGTAAGGCCCCGGGCCCTGATGGCATCCCCGTCGAGGTATATAACTTCAAATTAAAAAGGCATAAAAATCTGCTCCTGGACACTTACAACGCCTGCATCTCGGCTGTAGTTATTCCGAAAAGATGGAAGTTGCAAAGGTTGATCCTGTTAGATAAAGGAAAGGGTCCACCATACACGCCTTCATCTTACATACCAATTTGTGTGCTGGACGTAGCAGGAAAGATTTTCGAGGGCCTAATAAGGAATCGACTGAGGAAAGAAGTGGCCGATGCAGGTGGCCTAGCCAATAACCGACATAGTTTTCGACCGGCTGGCAGTATAATTGGTGCTATTTCCGAAGCGCTTTCATTTGCTAGGGCTGCCTGGTCGGGCAAGCTGAGTGGGGGAGCGGCCCAGGGCTCGGTCTTAGGACCGGAGCTTTGGATCATCCTTTACAATGCATTTCTACCTCTCGATGTACCGATTGATGTACTCCTGGCGGGATTCGCTGACGACGTAGCGTCGTTAATCTTTGCAAAGAGCTATGGCGAAGCGCAGGGATTGGTGAGATTTGTCGAGGCCAAAATCAACGCATGGTTGAATAAACATGGTATGTCGTAAGTCATAGCAAAGACGGAGGTCGTGATGCTCACAGCTCTGAAGTGGTTTCCGAGGCCGATTCCAGGCTCTCGTCATGAAACTGACGTTTCGAGAACATATTGTCAGTGTGGCCACAAAAGCGGCGACGATGGTGTCGCCACCTGGCTGATGGCTTTCTCGGTTAATGCCAAATGTCGGAGGACCAAGCAGCAGCCATAGACGAGCTCTCATGAGTGTCGCTAAGTCGAATATGCTCGACGGAGTAGAGGTCTGGGAGAGACACTCAAAGTAGGGAAAAATTGGAAGCCACTTGCGTCTGTACAACGTAGGGGTGCACTGAGGATAGCCTGTACTTATCGAACGGTATCGGAGGCAGCCGTGTTGGTCATCTCAGGTGCAATCCAATTCGACCTTTTGGGATTCGAGAGGAGACCTATCTGGGATGCTAAGCGGGCTGGCGAGCAACTGTTGATGGACGTAAGGACTCGAGAACGCAAGAAGACTTTTGTGATCTGGCAAGGGTGCTTGGAATCCGGGTGGTGGACTCATAGGCTTATTGGACGAGTCCGTGACTGGGTCTTACAGGAATATGGAGAGGTAGATTATTACCTCACGCAATTCCTTACTGGACACGGACAATTTAATGCCTACTTACACCGTATGAAAATCTGACGCGT